TCGAGCATATAAGAAGACTGACCCTGAAGCTGTTAAAAGGTCCATCACAACTCTTGCTGCTATAGTAAGAAAAGATGGTGCTATAAGTCTAGAACAAATGGCTACAAAAATAGGTAACTAAAACTATTTCCAATTCAGTATTCATATGCACAATGTATACAGTGTGTATAGTTACACTGTATGTGTGTAGCAATTTTCCCTTAATAGGTTTCTACTCTACATAATGTTGGGTAAAGCCCTTACTGACGAAGTAGATCTGTTTGTTTGTGTGCCTATCTGTACACATACATCTGCATGTAGCAAGGGAGAGAGCCCCTTGCATAATTTCCATAATTTTTTAAATTTTAGATGGGTGTTCCAATCCTGAAGAGTTCAGGTGCATTACTTCTGATGTATCTCAAGGTATACAAACAGCACTGGATAGTATTGCGACGGAAGCATTTTCAAAGGATATCATTACTTCTTCTGAATATCAGGCCTGCATTGATGGAAGTGCCACTGCAGAAAATAGGCGCATAAAATTCCTATTCACTGCAATTTATGAAGCAATAAATTTAGACCCAAAGAACTTGGGTCGTTTTTTAGATGTACTGAAGGATATGAGAGAACCTATCATTACTCAGAATTGCCATGACCCAATAAGTAATGATAATAATAACAACATGCTGTATTTTTAATAATCTTCTAACAGAAAAAATGCTGGAAAAAGATGAGGGGATAGATGACTGTTAAAATACTCTACCTATCATAAACTTTTTGCTAAACTATTATAACTTACGCTACTTTATTGTATTTTTTGTATTTTTGATGATTTTACATTTCTTAGAAAAATCATACTTCATAGAAAAGACTTCTACAGCTACGCCTTTAAAACCACATGCCACCCACAAAAAATTAAAAGGAGCAATATAATCCTCACTTGTTTTCAGTGTCAGAGTCACTAGGAATGTCTTCGTCTTCATCGGTTGGTATTGTAGTAGCTAATGGAATCTTTTTATTCTTAATGGCTTTGCTGTCCTGCTTTGTCCTTAAAATGAACATAAAATACAGCAAGACTAACCCTTTTCTTTTTGACTTGTGAAAGATTCTTTCTCTTTTTCCCCAGAGCTCCACTTTTGGTTTTAAAAGAAAGAAAGAAACTCGACATTTTGGCAAACTGTGAGGCAAAAATGTCAGTTTCCTTCTTTCTTCTATTTTGCTTGTTATTTGACACGTGGTTCCGCGCATGCGCAGAAATCTAGTCAATTTTTAACCCTCATGTGCCTACCCATTTGGACACATCACCACAAAAAGATCATTCATCTTTGTGTTTGGAAAAAAGACAAGAATTGTTCTTTAAAATTAAATCCTCTCCAACTATAAATACAAAAGCAAGGTCAGTCCAGAAATTAACTCTCCATATGTATTAAAATTGCAGGTGAAAGAGCTCGTTCTAATTGATGCCCCTGCCTCAAAATGACTGGTGTGGTTAGTGTGAAGAACAGTGTTGATACAGGTCATGAGGACATGATAGTGAGAGCTATTGATTATAAAACTAATTGATTACTCATTGCACAGCATGACTCACAAATGGATTATTACGGGCGGAGACTGGCTACATGTTCGTCTGACAGAACTGTCAAGATATTTGATGTATCTGGCCAGCAGACAGTGCTACTGGCCACACTGACTGGGTGAGGGGGGAAGGGAAGTATGTATGTGTTTATTGAAACTATTATAAGGAATATTGCATTGAAAATATAGCAAAAATTGGAGGTGTTTTTGGAGTCATTTTCCCCTGCAAATCAGCATGCTGTGACTCAAAAATAGTAACTGGAAGTTTCCATATTTTAATGCTTTTAAAAGTTAACTAAATTGTAACAAAGTCGTTTTATTTTTTTTAATTTTTTTAATAGTCATGAAGGACCAGTCTGGCAACTCTCCTGGGCTCATCCCAAATTTGGAAATATTCTTGCGTCATGTTCTTATGACAGGAAGGTAACATTAGTACATTGTACATGTACATACATGTATATGTACATGATTGACGACAAGGTTTCTCATTAGGTTATCATATGGAAGGAAACTAGTGGAAAATGGTCGAAGCTTCACGAGTTCTGTGAACACAAGTCATCTGGTACGTGTAACTAAAAATAGAAACAGGTCATGTGACCTAAGCCCCTCCCCTTTAGTTAATAGTATACAGTGGGCACCTCATGAGTTGGGGCTGGTCCTTGCCTGTGGTTCATCTGACGAATCATTCTCCATATTATATACAACAGGTAATGGGTTATTAGTGCATGTGTTATTAAGAGGGGATGCCCCTCTCATTAGGTGATGGTAATTGGCAGTACTCAAGACAGGAAGGAGTACATACAGTGAGTGTCTCTCTGAGTGTGTGATGGAGAGATTATTCTTTTCTTCTTCAGTTAGGGTGTAACTCTGTGAGCTGGGCACCTTCCGTTAATCCTGGCTCTCTTGTTGACGTAAGAATTAACAATATTTGAATCTGCTGGTACTTTTGAAGTTCTCTCTCTCTCTCAGGGTAATTCTCGTGCAGCTCCATCAACATGCAAAAGACTAGTGACAGGTGGTGGTGATAATTCCGTCAAGGTTTGGAGGGAGGAGGGGGACAGCTGGACGATGGAGGATAAGCTTGAGGGTCACACTGACTGGGTCCGTGACGTTGCTTGGGCTCCATCGATTGGTCTCCCTGTCAGTAGAATAGCCAGCTGCTCTCAGGTACTCTTAATGCATCAGTCCCGCCATATCCTCTTTGCTTGCTGTAGGACTGTACAGTTATCATGTGGACTAAGGATGAGTCTAGTGGAGGGAAATGGACCTCTAAAGTGAGAGAAGACTAATGATCTATAGAAGTTGCTTTAAAATTGGGCCAAAGCTTACTGTACATCGTCTTGGGCAAATTTTGTCAAAAATGAAAAGGAGACAATTCTCCATTTTATTACTTTTTTCTGATAGATATTGATGTACTTATGCTGTGTAGAAAGTTCGAGCTGATTCTGAGCTCAAATTTTTGAGTTATGGCCATTTTAAAAAACGGGCCAATTTTTGAAAAATACCCAAGGCTATAGCCCATGGTTTTTTCTGAAAAATGACTCCGAAGTCACCCCAAATTTTTATTACATTTTCTGATACATATTGATGCACTTATGCTGTGTAGAAAGTTTGAACTGATTCCGAGCTCAAATTTTCGAATTATGTTTATTTTAAAAAATTGGCCAATTTTTGAAAAATATATACTCAAGGCTATGCCCATGGTTTTTTCCAAAAAATGGCTCCAAAATCACCCCAAATTTTTATTACATTTTCAGATACATATTGATGTCCTTATGCTGTGTAGAAAGTTTGAGCTGATTCCGACTTCAATTTTCGAGTTACGGCCATTTTAAGAAAATGTCAAAAATCTGAAAAATACCCAAGGCTATAGCCCATGGTTTTTTCCGAAAAATGGCTCCGAAATCACTCCAAATTTTTATTACATTTTCTGATACATATTGATGCACTTATGCTGTGTAGAAAGTTTTAACTGATTCCGAGCTCAAATTTTCGAGTTATGGTCATTTTTAAAAATTGGTCAATTTTTGAAAAATACCCAAGGCTATATATAGCCCATGGTTTTTTCCGAAAAATGGCTCCGAAATCACCCCAAATGTTTATTACATTTTCTGATACATATTGATGTACTTATGCTGTGTAGAAAGTTTGAACTGATTCCGAGCTTAAATTTTCAAGTTATAGTCATTTTAAAAAAATTTGCCAATTTTTGAAAAATGCCCAAGGCTATAGCCCATGGTTTTTTCCAAAAAATGGCTCCGAAATCACCCCAAATTTTTATTACATTTTCTGATACATATTGATGTACTTATGCTGTGTAGAAATTTTGAACTGAGTTTGAGCTCAAATTTTCAAGTTATGACCATTTTATATTAAAAATAATTATAATCATTTAAAAATGTCTTCTAAAAGGTACTCAACACTTTCCCTGATGTTGTGTGGCACGTCAGTTGGTCAATCACAGGTGACATACTGGCTGTCTCGGGTGGAGACCACAAAGTAAGTGTGCACCGGACCCCTTGTGGGAGACAAGGGACCCAATATTACTTTACCGTGTGATAGGTGACGCTGTGGAAAGAATCCAATGAAGATGAATGGGTCTGTGTGAGTGAGATGGATAGAGGAGTTGAACGAGTTTCTTGAGTTCATAAATAATAATATTATCCTTTTCATATTGTCTGTCTCTCTCCTCCTTTATTATTATTATTATTATTATTATTATTATTATTATTATTATTATTATTATTATTTTGTCTCATAATTATTACAATTATACCTCAATAATCTTATTAGAATAGGTACACATGATACTCATACATTAGATCACACAGAATGAGAATACCTCTCTATACATGTATTACTGTGGCACACACACACATACAGCTGCTACGAATAATAATGATACAGAATAGGACAATTAATGTACAGTTGTAATTATGTATACATGTAGAATGAGACAGAAGGAGGAGGAGCTATAAAGATCGATCATAACACAGTTATTAGTGGTTATTAATGGTTATTAAAAGTTATTAAGAGTTATTTCTGACGTGGGTGTACTTTGTGCATTGAATTGATTCGTCTCCAGGTAAGTAGGTCATCCTTCGTGGTATGGGGGACCATTCTGAGTGCGGCTCTTCTTGCAAGTTCTCTTTATTTAGAGGAGAATGGAACACCTTGGGCTTGGAGGTTAGGGATAAAAGCTAGAGAGGAGAAGAAGGAGGATATGACTAATACTGTCTCCTTTAAAGTAAAGTGCTGTACCAAAAAAAATTACAAGTTCTTTGTTAGCGATTTGTCAGACATTTTGTGTAAATTATAACTCAAATAAAACAGCAAAAATAAAGTTAAATGACTGACAGGAAAAATGAATTGATTATTAAATGAAATTACAACAATGATAATGAATGTTGACAGACACAATACAATACAACAACAATAATAATAATAATAATAATAATAATAATAATAATAATAATAATAATAATAATGTAGATATTGTACACACATGTATGAATTGGAGTGAGAGGTGAAGGAGGGTCTATACCTGCTTTTCATATTCAGGATCATATTCAAACTCAACCTCTTCAGACTCAACTGGATCCTACACATATAAGTAGTACATTAATGAGAAAACCAGATAATCTCTATATCCTTTGCTTCCCTCCCTCCCTCCCTCTCTTCCATATGTACATGTATATTTTTACCTCAGGAGGTTTGGCAGTTTCCACAGGTTTAGTTCCGTTAGTTTTAGCCCCGCCTTTGGGTGGAGCCACCGGTCTCCTAAAACGAGACTGAGCAGCACGTTTGACAAGGTGATCATCAAACTGACAAGAGATTGGTCTTGCTTCTTTGTTAGTCTATAACATAATAAATATATCTAATTATATATTCATAGTTTTGACCACACCCACTCAATTATATATTCATAGTTTTGACCACACCCACCCAATTACAGTACTTACTATTCTAGTTGGGGTTGGTATGAATGAACGTCTTTTCAGTCTATTGGGCGTGGCATCACTTTTAATCTTTGGAGTATCACCAGTGCTGTGTCTACGGGTTGTGGGTGTGGTTACATCAGACACCTGATTAGAATCTGTTTCAGTCACTCCCACGTCTTTCGTTGATTCTAATTTCTTTTTTCTTTTAATCTCTTCCGGTTTCTTCATAGCCCCGCCCAGAGCTGGTTTCCTTGCGACAGGTCTAGTGAGGAGTGATTTTCCTTTAGTGGGCGGAGCAACTTGACTTCCTGTTTTAGCTGAGGAAGGCCGTGACGTCACAGATGGTGGCACAAGGCCAGAGCGAATACTCCCTTTTTTAACCCCCACACCCACTGCAGCACCATCAGTTTTATCACTACCTTTCGTTAAACTAGTCTTGTTACTGGGACCTTTAATTAAAGGTTTATTAGCAGGGGCTCCCCCACTACCTTTACTAGTAATACTAGGAGCTGATTTTGATTTAAGACCACTTGTACTAGTTGTACTCACTCCTCCTCCTCCTCTGGCGGCCATTGGTTGCTGTTTGGTTGCTCCTGGTCGTGTCGTTGTTGCTAGGATCTTTCCCTTGGTTACCATCAGGTTTGGTTTGATTGGTTTCTTGTTTAGTCCAGTAGCAGCTGTACCGCTGGCCGTACGAGCTGATGAAGGTCGAACTAATTTAGATTTACTAGA